CTGCATTTATTATAATTATCCGCCACACAAATATATGGCCTGAACACTGATTCTGAGATCACACACTAATCTGTCTAATATATCCACTGGGCCAAACACCACCATCAATTTTTCACACTGTTTCAAAGCCAAATACGCTGCTCAAATATTTAAAGGCATCTTGTATTCTGGTGAATCGTTGACACCGTAAGTTAGCCCAGTGAAATCATAATCTTTTGGTGGAAAGGATGGGAAAATGTGCAACTTTATGATAACTAAGGAAAGGCATATTAACCACAAGCCTGGTGTTTTTTAAAGATGAGAAAGGCTGATAACACCCAAAGTTGAGCAAGCTGCAGAAGTTCTCAGAAACCATTGATCTTGTTTCCAGGGGCCACTTTTGAAACATGTATAAAAAGTTTAATGTGCATTTTCATCTAATTATTCCACTCTTTGGAACTTACCCTGAAGGCATGACTGCACTAATATGCAAAATATGATTTGTGTTCACTGTAGCACTGTTCTTTTTTTCAAATTTATTTATTTTATTTGAAAGACAGAATTAGAGAAAGGCAGAGACAGAGACAGAGAAGTCTTCCATTTGGTTCACTCCTCAAATGGCTGCAATGACCAGAGCTGGGCCAATCCAAAGCCAGGAGCCTGGACTTCTTCTGGGTCTCCCATGTGGGTACAGGGGCCCAAGGACTTGGGCCATCTTCCACTGCTTTCCCAAACACATTAGCAGAGAGCTGGGTTGGAAGAGGAGCAGCCAGAACTCCAACTGGCACCCACGTGGGATGCTGGTACTGCAGGTGACGGCTTTACCTGCTACACCACAACACCAGCCCCAGGAATGTGATTATTGTAAAGTCACATGAAATTCATGATGGCCTTCCAGATTTCTTCTCTGTGACACATCTAGATCATGTTTTATGAAATTCAGGCACTGAATTTATCTTTGCAAACAAATGCTATTTGTTTCTAATAGCAACAATCTGGATATAACACAAATGCCATCAGTAGAGAAACACTGAATGCATTATTACATTATATGTGGCCATTATAGGAAATTAAGACAGGAATTTTTTAAATTATTAGAGTTAGCCTGGAAAATCTCCATGTTATGTAAGTCTAAAAAGTCTACAGGGAATAGATATATTGTTTTTGTCTTTTTAAAAAAGATTTATTTAAAAGGCAGAGCAAGTGAGGGAGAGAGAAAGAGATCTTCTGTCTGTTGGTTCACTCCCCCAAATGGTCACAATGGCAAGGGCTGGGCCAGGCTGAAGTCAGAAGCTTGAATCTTTATCTGTGTCTCCCATGTGGGTGCAGGGGCCCAAAGACTTGGACCATCTTCTGCTGCTTTCCCAGGTGCATTAGCAGGGACCTGGATCAGAAATGGAGGAGCCAGGACTGAAACTGGCACCCGTATGGGATGACAACATTGCAGGAAGTGGCTTAATTTGCTGAGCCACAACACCAACCCCTTGTTTTTATCTTAAAAAATAAAACAAAAACAAAAAACCCAAACCTATGTGTACATGAGAGATGTAGATAGAAATTTTTAAAAAAAAATGTGCATAGAGAAAAATGTATGAAAACATAGCTGAATTTTTTAAAGATTTATTTTATTTATTTGAAAGGCAGTGTTAGAGACAGTGAGAGGGAGAGACAGAGAGAGGTCTTCCATCCGCTGGTTCACTCCCCAGCTGGCTGCAACAGCTGGAACTGGGCCAATTCGAAGCCAGGAGCCAGGAGCTTCTTCTGGGTCTCCCACGTTGAGTGCAGGGGCCCAAGGACTTGGGCCATCTTCCACTTCTTTCCCAGGCCATAGTAGAGAGAGAGCTGGATTGGAAGTGGAGCAGCCAGGACTTGAACCGGTGCCCATGTGGGATGATGGCACTGCAGGTGGCAGCTTTACCTGCTACGCCACAGCGCTGGCCCCAAGCTGAAATTGTTAACATTGGATATACACAGAAGGGAAAATTAAACGAATCTAATGAGGAGATTAGTAAGTTTTCTTAATATACCTCTGGATTATTGAATTTATTTAAAAGAATATTACTTTTGGGGCCAAGGCTTTGGCACAGCAGGTAAGGCTGCTGCCTGCAGTTCTGGCATCCCATATGGGCTCCAGTTCAAGTTCCAGCTGCTCCACTTCTGATCCAACTCTCTACTATGGCCTGGGAAAGCAGTAGAAGATGTCCCCTGCACCTGTATGGGAGGCCCAGAGGAGGCTCGAGGCTCCTGGCTCCTGGCTTCAGATTGGCACAGCTGCAATTGTTGCAACCAATAGGGGAGTGAACCAGTGGATGGAAGAGCTCTCTCCCTCTGCCTCTCCTTCTCTCTCTGTGTAACTCTGACTTTCAAATAAATAAATAAATCTTTTTTTTAAAAAAAGAATATTACTTTTATAATAAAAATTCAGTGTCACCTAAAGTTAAATAAAGATTAGAAGCAATAGCACATCCTAAACATAAAAGCTATTTAATCAGTCCTTCTGTATGTTTATGCATTGGTTGTCAACTTTTTTTTTTTATTTGAGAGGGAGAAAGAGTATGAGAGACAGAGTTCCTATCCACTGGTTCACTCCCCGTGCCTCTACCGGCCTGAATGAAGTTGGGAGGTGAAAACTCAGTTCTAGCCTCCCAAGAGAATGGCTGGGGCTCAACTACTTGAGCTATCAGCTGCCTTGGCAGGAAGCTGGGATCAGACGTGGGAGCCCAGGTTCTTCAGGATGGGGTGCAGGTATCCGAATCCCTAGGCCACAAACCTCCCCGTGGTTGTCAATATTTTTCACCTCTGCTGTAAGCTACCAGCTGAGTGGTCATCGAATTGCTCATGTTCTTTGTGGGTTGAAGATGCTCAGGTCACATGACAATCATGCAACCTAACACACCACTCAGCTTTGTTTTCCAGGAGCTCACTTCTTTAAGAATTTTTTTGAATATTTATTTTAAAGGCAGAGAGAGAAAAAGGCCTTCCAGCCACTGGTTCACTCTCCAAATACCAACAACAGCTGTGGTTGGGCTAAGGTGAATCCAGGAGCCAGGAATCCATCTGGGTCTCCCCCGATGGTGACAGGAGTCCAGGTATCTGGGCCATCTTCCACTGCCTTCCCAGGCCATAGCTGAGAGCTGGACTGGAAGCAGAGCAGCCAGGGCTGAAACCAGTAAACATTGGTTCCCTTCACTCATTTTAATTAGGAAAACAGGTTTTAATAGCTCTATCTCTGCAAAGGGGGCAAAGAAACAGAGAAAATGATTATTATTAATAACTACTTAGCAAGCAGTATTATGCTAAAACTTTTGGGGTCTATCTTGCCAAATCTCCACAATTATAGAATGCCTGTGACACAAGTATTAGCACTTGAGAAATGAGGAAATTGAGACTGAAAAACTAAAAGTTTGGCTTGTCCAGGGTTCACCACCCCAACTCAGTAACAGAGCTATAACCGTTCATTAAAAGTAGAGTCACTATAAATCCTAGCTATCCTAGGACAGTTCCAACTTACATCTTGAATCCTGATGTAACTATTGATGATGTTTCTTTTCTGTTTCAAAAAGGGACTAAAAAAGTTACATGGCCATTTTATCTCAATCTTGGTACTACTGAAATTTGGGGCTGGAAAACTCTTGCTTGAGAGGTGCTCGCCTATGCACTGTAGGATATTTAGCAGCATCCCTGGCCTTCACCCATGAGATGCCAGGAGCACCTCACACCAAATAATGGGAAAAAATAAGTCTCTAGACACTGCCGCAGGCCAAAATTGCTCCTGGTTGAGGACCACTGTATCTAAAACCTACACTCATAAAAACTTAACTACAGAAGGCTATCTATTTTATAGATCATGTACTATATAAACTGAATCTACCCAGTAAAGTGGTTAGCACATACTCTGTACTCAATAAAAGTTAACTTTTTAGTGACATTACTTCGCTTCCCAATTGTAGAGAGGTACAAAGGCTAAACAAGTAAAGAACAAGAAGACTGAGTGGGCTCTAGCGGCAATAGTTGGTTGGTTGCAATTCTTATTAGAGAAGTACAGTGGGAAGGGACCCGGCAAGCTCCTGGATACCCGTGTTGTGGAGTTTGATTCTTGATTCCATTTGGGTGTTTTCTTGAGTAATGAACATAACAGCTAGGATGATAGCCAGGGAGTGATGCAGCAAGTTTCATACTTCAGCAATCTTCTTCAGTAATAACAGCTAATAATAGTCAGTGTTCTTTTTTATCCTACTCTTATACTTAGAAATGACCACCATTTCTTTCATACCACCATTTTCCATTTATTAGCAAGAACAGAAGAAATACCAATAGCACCAATTAAAAATGAATCCACATGACTTGTTTTATCCTTACAGCTGTAATAACTAGTAACTAACATGGATTGGAAAGCACTTCGCAAATTTAAAAAGTGCTGTACAGATACATTATAATTATCATCATTAATAAATTAGCCCGATTCTCCTAGTTCAAAAGGCACGTAAGGTCAGATACATGGGCTTCAATGGGGCAAAATGATCACAACCTACGATGTAGCAATGGTTCACATGTGTTGCAAGCAAGTTTACCCCATGCAATCCTGCAGAGCTGAAGTTACACACCCTTCAAAATGTGGAGAATGAAGCTAAAAGTAGACAAGACAGTCTTTCGAGATTTAATGCCTATTTTTAAATAACAGACTCCTACCTCTTTTATATTAACTTTCAAATAGATAATATAATTAAACTTCTAAATTGTATATACCCAAATTAAAAACTCTTATTTAAGGTGACTGCAAATTTTATTATTTTATATGAACTGACATTCCAGATCACATGAAAGTTTCAAAGCATTCTGCAACTTCAAAGAGGTCAGATTGGTAACATTTGTGCTTGCACGCCCTCAGGGAATATTTTCAGTATTCATTCCAGAATTGTTACTAGAAAAAAACAGCTTTATCCATGCCCTTGCCAGCAGGAGTCTTGGCAAGAGATGGCATTTGGCTGACCATAAATAAAATTCCTTGAATCACCAGTATCTTGATTTAAGAAAGAAATTTTACTGTGTCTTTTATACACAAAAGCTGATTAACAATGGTTAAAAAAACACTACTCCACTTTTTCACAGGTGTACAAAAGGAAATATAATGGAGTTACATTCAACAATAAAGCTTAAAGTTCACTCTAGGTAATAGTTGCATTAACATTCACATACACAAGCACAGAGTTAAGAATATTTCAGGAGTCTTATATTAGCATACAGCATACATATGGGAGATTGATTTCAGGTAACATCATAGGTGTTAGTAAGATTAGCAATTCAGAGTGTTCTAGAAAAGGGTAACTAAACCAAAGAGAAGGTGTAAGGCTAGCACACCAAGACAAGTCACAGAATCAGAGAATTGAAAAATCTGCTCACTGTATGTATGAGAAAAGAACATTTTCCTTCAATTTCTGGGTCTCGATATAGTTGGTTAGAGAAGGTTGTGTATTCAAAGTGCACATAATTGTTTCTTAGAAAAGAGAGAGAAAGATCTTTTTATTTAGTAATTAATACATGCAAGAGGCAGCCCCCAGAGTGACCTGAAAGAGTAAAGCTGTGATTGGCAGGTGGCCGGTATAATACAGATGTTTCAGGCAATTCTCTTAAAGCACTTCTGTAGCAGCAACGATCATTTAAATGGCTGAATTCTCTTTTTGAGGGGAGTATAGGGGGAATGTATTCATCATATTTCTCTTTTAAAGATCTATAGCAATAGACTTTCTCTTTTTTAAATAAATCTATCAAACAACAAACAGCATAAAGTGAGGTGTTGGGGTTTTCTTTCTTCTTTTGCTTTTGCATATGTGTTGTCAGAAAAGGACTTGGCCTTTTCATAAACATTGTGTGCAAAAGAATTCTGAGTAAAGTGAGCACAAGGACATATACAGGAAACACGGCAGGTCTGCTTCTGCTGCCCTGGCTAGCCCTCTGTGAGACACTGCACTACTGGCTTGTGGTCTAATGCAGGGTTCATGATTGATGACCCACAGCCAACAGACTTTAGGAGCCCCTAAAGCCTTGTCACTGAGGGTAGTTTTGTCCACAAGACGGTGGCCGCCACCTCTTGAGTCGTAAGGTTTAGAAAGTCTGGTCCTTTTCACTTTCACGTTTCCCCTCCAAACTGGTGACTCCTGCTGTCTGTCTGCCTTTACTTCCCAGCCCTTCTTGTCCCCACTAGGCTTGTCCGGCCCATCCCAGCCCGTGTCTGGCACTCACATGCCCACAGGGGTCACACATACCCAGTGGCCACAGACACCCAAGCTGCTCAACCTCAAAACCTTGCAACCTGCCCTGCGAGTGTCATCAAGACAGGATCCCCGGAGCACAGGGCAGAGAGTCCAACCTCTCACTGGCGGGGCTGGGAAGCCTCTCCTTTGCGGCGGAGGAGAAAGGAAACTTGGGTCTGCTTTTTAGGTTCTGAAAACAAGCCAGAGTGGAGAAAAAGAGTTAACACCAGACTTAGTAAAGCTTCGAAGACAAAACCAGTTACATGGGATCGAGACAGACAGAGGGAACTTTCTGCAGATTGGAGGTCTCTAAGAGGGCTCGTGGAGATGGGAGAAGGGAGCAGGGAACCACTACGTGGGAGGGATTTGCCATTGTTACAAAAACTGGCTGAGTGGCTTGTTTCCATCCGGGGACCTCACTGGTCACTGTTGTCAGTCGTGCTGTTCCCTTTCTCCTTTTTCTCCTGGGTCTTGCTACCCTTCTTCTTTTTCTTCTTTTTCTTGGTCTCCTCCTTTTTGCCGAAGGTTATGAAGTCACTTTTGTCAATTTGGTTGTTAGTAGGCTCCTGCCGGATGGAGATGATTGCAGGAGATCCTGGGATAATGAATTTGTCTGGCAACTCACCGGGACCGGACTGCTTAGGGTTGCCTGGTCCGTACTTGAAGGTCCAGCTGTTGCTGTTGACACCAGCGCCGACCGGAGGGGACACCTCTCCCGCCTCTGGTTCTGAAAGACAAACCATCACAAATGGGTGACAGGGTCAACACACGCCCCCGATGCCACTCTGCAGGGAGAGGAAGGTTGCATAGACCATGGGTGCCCAAGAAAGGGCGATTATTTCTTCAAGCCTGGAAGGGAAGCACTGTGTTTGGACAAGAGCAGGAAGGCAGACTTTCTCACCAGAGTGCCCAGGAGTCTAGTTTTCTAGTAACATAATTCTCATTGTTTGTGAGGAATCTCCCAAAGAACATGGCTGTGGTTACCTTGCCTGGGAATGGGATGGGAAATGCACAGGATTTAAAGCAGAAATGGTACTCTGAGTGCAAAAGATTAAACTCTGGCTACAAATATTTTTTGACTCCTACTCTATCCGAATGGAAGAGAAATCGGTTGAATCAATTATCCAATCTGAATTCTCCTCTAGTCGTCTGGAGGAGCAGTGAGACAGAGCAGGGAAGAGACGTGGAGAAGCAGGGTGTCAGAGACTCGCCCCAGCAGGGAGGATGACAGCCTGTTGCAGGTTGCACCTCTGTCTGGATGGAGCACCGGGAGCCAACTTCACTTTCCAAACTGAATCCTCTCCCTCGGTGTGTGCCCAGTCTGGGACGTACATTTGAGCAATTATAAGCCAAGTTAATAGATGCAAAACTCGAGACCTGGAAAGTAGGGCTGGGGAAGATTTTTCTGCCAAGGGCTGTTTGGGTATTCACAACATCATCTGTGGGCCATACACAATCATCAACTTAAAAATTAGCCTGCTATAGTTACTGAATTTTGACTCCCACCCACGGTTGCCCTGGCAGAGCCAGACCCAGCAATTTGGTGGGCCTTCTATGACCCACGAGCTGGACATTCCCCACCCAGCTGTAAAGCATCATGGGACTCCAGGGGAGAAATGGATTAATCATACCTGAAAAAGTTAAAGGGGATTCCAGAGGAGAAGTGAAATTTGCAGTGAGTCTCGGGGAAATAATTCCGCATCTACAGGGGTTTTCAATGCAAATCTTTCCCAAGAGTCTCATTGGAAGACGAAGAATAAAGTGTATCACTAACTTCTAGAAGAGTAGAAGTCAGAGCCAGAGACAAAAAGTGATGATCTTTCTGGGCAGTGTGATCCCAGTGGCTGTGACACTGAAACCCTTTGGCAACACGGCAGTGCTTATGTCTCTGACATTGCTTTTAGTGGATAAGAAAATATCTACCACACAGGCCACTTATGTTCACTGCAGTCTGGACTGTCTGTGCCCGCCATTTCCACTTCCCCACCTCCTACTGCTTCTCAGTTCCTCAATTTGGGGTCCCTGTGCACTACTTTACTTTTTAAAAGATTTTTATTAATTTATTTGAAAGGCAGAAATACAGAGAGAGAAGGAGAGAGGGAGAACAAGGAAGGTTTTCTATCCACTGGTTCATTCACCAAATGGCTGCAATGGTTGGGGCTGGGCCAGGCTGAAGCCAGGAACTTCATCCAGGTCTCCCATGTGTATGCAGGGGCCCAAGGACTTGGGTCATCCTCTGCTGCTTTCAGTTGCATTAGCAGGGAGCTGGATCAGAAGTGGAGAAGCTGGGACTTGAACCAGCATCCATATGGTATACTAGCCCTGCAGGAAGAGTCTTAACCTCCCATGCCACAGTGCAGGCCCATGAGTGCTGCTTTTCTAACACTGTTCATGTCAAGTTAACTACAGTACTTCCAAAATCAGTGGTCACATTTTAGTCCTCATCTTAGTAAACCTCCCAGCAGCATGTGTCATCCGCTTCTTCAAACTGGTATGCGCATGAATTTGTCATGTAGAAGAATAACCCCCATCGGTTCTTAGCTGGACTGGAACCCTGCTATAAAAGGCAGATTAAGAAGAGAAAAACAAACAGAAGTTTATTAATGTGTATATGTCATACGTACATGAGAGACAGCCGAGGAGAGGACAGCCTGCAAGGGGCAGCTTTCAATTACAGGTCGTATAGCACCTTCAGCAAATTAACAGTAAATTTTATAAGAAGAAACAGACAAAAGAAAAGGACTTTGAGTGCAGAGAGGCAGCACCTGGGGGGATGGCAAGTGCACGACAGACAAAGGCTAGCTGCTAAAGCGTGCTCAAGTCTGCTCCTCTGGTGCCGTCTCCAGGCTGGAGAGCCCCAAACTGTCTTCAGTTCTCCCTCGTGGAAGGCAGTGGGTAAAATCTTTTGTCTCTGTAAATATATGTCCTGCTTTTAGGCAAACAGAAGGAGGGCGGACAGCTTTGCTGTATTCGAATCTTCTTAATTGCCTGCAGCTCAAAAACCCTTCACATCTCAGGGTAAGGGAGCATATTCTGGCCCCCCACCCCCAACAGCCTTAGCACCTTTCTCCCTGGCTGTTCTTCCTCAGTTTCCCTGAGGAGCCTCCTCACCTAGGTCACCTGTGTGTTGGAGCTCCCATGACTTTGGCCCTGTACCCTCTTCTCTACCTCCTCTCCATTCTTTGCTTTAGGGATCTCAGTCACCCAAAGGGATATAAATACCATCTAAGTATGCTGATGAGATGCAGATTTACAACAGCCTGCATCTCTCTGTGGCCCCATGCCAGGTATCCAACTGCCCATCCGGTATCTGCACATGGGCATCGCAAACTGAAGGGATTTGAAACCAAACTCTTGAGACCACTCTCATTTATTCCTTTGCAAATCTTTGGAGCCTCAGCAAATAACGACCCATGTATCCCACTGCTGAAGCCAGGAGATTCGGAGCTATTCTTCATTTTCCCTTCTTCATTCTCCATTTATAATACATCACCAAGACCTGTACATTCTGCCTTCTAAATATATATTGCATCTGCAGTCTTCTCTCCATTTTCACTTTCTCGGACATCACTCTGTCTCCTTTGCATCACAGCCAAGCCCACCCCTTGTTCAACCTGCTTCCACTTTTGCCTCTCTCTAATCCTCCACACAGCAGCCAGAGTCATCTTTATGCCTTAAAGCATTTATCCTTTCCTAAAAATTGCAGTATAATATACATACAGTAAAATCCTTTAAAATTAGAAATCAGATTACATCACTTCCCTGCTGAAAATTATTCAAAGACTTTCTACTGTTTTGAGAAAATAAAAATCAAACTCCTTACCATAGTATATAAACCCCTTTAATAATCTGATTTTTTTTCTTTTCTAATCTCTTCTAAAAATGTCCTTCCTGCCACTGTAATCCAGCCACACAGGCCCTCTTTCAGTTCCTCAAACATCCTATGGAACTGCTTTTGCCTCAAGATCTGTTCACTTAATTTTCCTTTGGTCTCAAATGACTTCTCCATTCTTCACATCACTCCTCTTTCTCCAAGTCTGTATTCCAACGCAACCTCCTCAGAGTGAACTTTTATGACCAACCTAGCCAGGCAGCACCCTTTCAGAGACAGGAAATACACCTGTTCATTCACCGACATATAACCAGTGCCTAAAACAATTCCTGACCCCTTACAGGTTTTTAATAAGTACTTTCTGCGGGCCGGCGTTGTGGTGTAGCAGCACTGCTGTGCTTCCAATCTAGCTCCCTGCTAGGGCACCTGGGAAAGCAGTGGGAAATGGCCCAAGTGCTTGGGTCCCTGCCACTCATGTTGGGAACCTGGATGGAGTTCCAGGCTCCTGGCTCTGGCCTGGCCCAGGCAAATGACTGTTGCGACCATTTGGGGAATGAACCAGTGGATGGAAGATCTCTTTCTCTGCCTCTCCCTCTGTGTCATTCTGCCTTTCAAATAAATGCAATAGAGCTTTAAATAATTAAATAAATAATTGCTGGTTGAGTGAATGAATGAACTGGTGCAAGAGGTGGAAGTGGCAGCTGCTCTCCACTGACAGCACTCTCAGAGAACCTCAAGACAATGAGGTAATGCATGCAAAGTGCCAAGCCTCATCCTTGGCGCAGTGTAAGGGCTCTATATACGGCATCACATATGGCCTAGGAAATACTGCACAGCTCTTGGGGCTAGGAGGGCAGCATAAGGATATTTCAAATTTATTGCAAGCACTAAGGAGAGACAGCAAGAAGCTTTCTTCTCCAAACCTTTGTCCTTATATCATGCTTCCCCAGCACAACTGACATAACAGCACTCTGAAAAGGGGGCAACATTTTTTCTCTGAGACTTAGGATTCATTCTTATAAAAATATTTGTATTTACAGCTGAGAGGCAGAGAGACAGAGACAGAAAAAGAGAGGGGTCCTATTCACTCCTCCAAATGTTCCCCAATGGCCATGGCTGGGCTGGGATCAAGCAGGGAGCTAGGAAAGCAATGCAGGCCTCCCCCATGAGTGTCAGGAGCTGGACTGAGACTTGCAGGGTCTGCATTAGCTGGAGGCTGAAGTCAGGAGCCAGAGCTGGAAACTGAACTGAGGCACTCTGGTGTGGGATGTGGGTGACCTAACAGGCATATTAACTACTAGGCCAACTGCCCACCACCCTGAAACTAAGACTAATTTCTTTTTTGTTGTTTATCTATATTTATTTTTTTAAGATTTATTATTTTTTTTTGAAAGAATTACAGAGAGGCAGAAGCAGAGACAGAGATTTTCCATCCACTAGTTCACTACCCAAATGGCTACAACGGCCAGGGCTAGGCCAGGCCAAAGCCAGGAACCAGGAGCTTTATCCATGTCCCTGACATGGGTGCAGGGGCCCAAGCTCTTGGGCCGTCCTCCACTACCTTCCCAGGTGCATTAGCAGAGAGCTGGATCGGAAGTGGAGCAGATAGGACTCCCATACGGGATGCTGGACATCGCAGGCAGTGGCTTAACCCGTCACACCATTCATAGCGCCAACTAAGACTCATGTCTACCATCTTTCTAAAATAACCAATCTGTAATTGCGCTCAATCAGAATCTGCCTGTTTACATTTCAAACACAGGCTCTGTCTGAGTCTGAGACAAAAATAAGAAACATATTTAAAAACCTCTGATTTGGGGTGGGTGTTTGGCACCGTGATTAAGATTCCGCTTGGGGTGCCCACATCCCATATCTGAGTACCTGACTTCATGCTC